GATGGAAGGCTGAGTGAACCCTGAGCCGGTGAGATTTGAACCGCTGAACTGCTGATCTAGCAGCAGTACAATCTAACCTCCAGACCCTTTATCAGCTTCATTGCTCTTCTCTGCACTCTTTCTAGGTCCCCATAATCTGTTGTTGTTTTTACAGAGAGTTGAAAGCAACTTCATTAGACTAAATGAGACTTTGCAGGGAAAAAATATAGAGGGATTTCTCCGCTAACATATATGACTATGGAGATTCTCCGTCATCCAGGATATGGTTGTCCCAAAGGTGGTTTTTCAAGAGGCAACTGGACTTTCTGGTTTTTCTTTGAAGATGTTTTGCTTCTCATCCAAGAAGCTTCTTTAACTCTGACTGGATGGTGGGGAAGGGAAGGGAGGTTCCTTCCCCACCATCCAGTCAGAGCTGAAGAAGCTTCTTGGATGAGGAATGAAACATCTGGTCATGTTTTTTCTTTGAAGACTTTTCGCTTCTCATCCAAGAAGCTTCTTCAGCTCTGACTGGATGGTGGGGAAGAGAACTCCATGGTGCTGCAGTGGTTAGAATGCAGAACTGCAGGCTACTTCTGCTGCCTGCTGGCTGCCTGCAATTTGGCAGATCAAATCTCACCAGGCTCAAAGTAAAAGAAACCTCACCCGATGGACTCACTTTCACTTCCTTCCTTCCGGAGCCATCTCCGACTTCATCAGTCTGGGGGCTGCCTGTTTGCTGCTAGTTTGAAGCGCTTCCCTTGGGTCAATCAGGGACTTTGTGATGTCCCTGAGACCAGAAAGGCTTTGTCTTCCTGGTCACCATCTCTCCGGGACGCTTTAGGTCCTACTGGACCGTCCAGGGGCAAAAGTGTCAACAGTGGTCTCGGACAGTCAAGACCGCACGTTGTGTTGTCGCGACATTAGCGCCTCCTTTTTCCAAATCTCACCAGGCTCAAGGTTGACTCAGCCTTCCAACCATAAAATGAGGACCCCAAATTGTTGGGGGCTATATGCTGACTCTGTAAACTGATCAGAGAGGGCTGGAAAGCACTGTGAAACAGCATATAAGTCTAAGTGCTTATTGCTATTGCTATCCAGTCAGAGTTGAAGAAGCTTCTTGGATGAGAAGTGAAACATCTTCAAAGAAAAAACAGAAAGTCCAGTTGCCTCTTGAAAAAGCACCTTTGGGTTTGCTGATGTGTACATGTACAACAGCTGCAGACTTTTCAAGAGCTCTTGAGAATGTATCAATGTGGTGAAGTCACTGAATCAGCCTAAATGTCAACTGCCAGTAGGCCTACAACTCAATGGGATTATTGATTACTGACAATCTGTTTTTCTCTCTCTTAGATAGGAGAATTATATAGGGAAGTGAACATGTGTTAAGTGAGTTTTTGCCCCATTTCACGGCCTTTCGTGCCACAGTTGTTAAGTGAATAGCTGCAGTTGTTAAGTAGTAACTCGGTTGTTAAGCGGATCAGGCTTCCCCATGGATTTTTACTCATCAAAAAGTCACCAAAGGGGATCATGTGATCCTGGGTACTTTGCAACCGTCATAAATGTGAATCAGTTGCCAAGATTCTGAATTTTGATCACGTGACCATGGGAACGGTTGTAAGTGTTCAAATGGTCACAAGTCCCTTTTTTCAGTGCTGTTGTAACTTCGAATGGTCACTAAATGAACTGTTGTAACTCGGGAACCTGCATCACTGAAATAAAGCTTGGCTTTGAAGTTTCACATCATCCTAAAGTTTGTTATCAGCCATCGTTGCCGAGCCTAACATATTGTGTTGGCTTATCCCTGTGCAAAATGATATGCTTAGGATTACCTCTGGATACGAGCAAATATCTGTAAAATATACCGAAGAGTTGAAAGTTTGATTCTTAAAAGGCAGTTGTTTGTCCCAGTCACACCAGAGCTGTGGAAAAGAAAAGAGAGAAGAATAAGAAAACTAATGAAATTACTTTGCAGAGAAATGAAGGAAGAAGATTACTTGTTGCTGGGGGTGGGGGAGGAGGAGGAGGAAAAGGAGGAGACAACGACAATAGTGTTAATCAGTGGTGGGTTTCAAAAAATTTTAGAACCTCTTCTGTAGGTGTGGCCTGTTTTGTGGGAGTGGCTTGCCGGCCATGTGACCATGTGACCGGGTGGGCGTGGTCAACGTCAACTCCCAGAATTCCACCTCTTGTCATGTTGGCTCAGAAACTCTGGCATTTGAAGCACACAAGTCTTAAAGCTGTCAAGTTACAAGNTAGGGGCTGGGGGGGCAAAAAACAGCCCATTTTTTGCTCATTTCTGCTCTCCCCAGCCCCCAGGATTTCTCTGAAAGCCTCCATAAGTCTAGGCATGGCCATTTTGGTGAAGGGGCGGGGCTTTGGGAGGTAAAAAAATGCTGCATTCGATGTATAAGACGCACCCAGATTTTCAGTCTCTTTTTTGAGGAAAAAAAGTGCGTCTTATACTCCAAAAAATATGGTAATTTGACAAGTTTGACTAAATCTTTGGCCAATGATGCCATGAAGAGAGCAACTGGGGGAGTGGGATAAATCTGTAATCTCTTCACTTCAAGCTTACCGCTGATCGTTGGGTACTGTCTTCTTTAGAGGATCGGCGGTAAAGATGAGATGAGAGCCAGGACTGCCGAACAAGAGGGTTATTTACAACAGAAACTATTTACAGGCGATTCAGCACCATCCCTGCTTGACAGCTATTTAAACGAGCTGTCAGAGCAGGGATAGCCAATGGGCACGCTTCAGTGTCTAGCAACTGATGACGCTGCGCCTAAACCAATCAGGGTGCCTCTAGCAGCTAGCAACAGGCGACGCTGCGCCCAAGCCAATCAGGGCGCAGCCTGGCTTGTTGCTAGCTGCCTGGTCGTATGTCGAGGACTTTCCAAGTCCTCAACAATCCCTTCTACCAACCCTGTCTTATTTTCGGGGAAACATGGTAAGTGGGTAACCTGGCAGTTAAGTGAATCTGGCTTTCCCATTGACTTTGCTTGTCAGAAGGTGGCAGAAATTGACAACATGACCCTGACTCTTACTATTGCATGCTTGCCACAGTTGTTAAGCGAATCACTGCAGATATTAAGTTAGAATCACTGCAGATATTAAGTTAGTTACACGGTTGTTAAGTGAATTGTTAAGCGAATCTGGCTTCCCCAATTGAGTTTGCCTGTCAGAAAGTCTCAAAAGGTGATGTTATGACCCGAGGACACAACAATGTTATAGGGACCTGAATTTTGATCACATGATCATGGATCATGGTCGTTAAGAGTGAAAAATGGTCATAAGTCACTTTTTTCAGTGCTGTTGTAAACTTTGAATGGTCACTAAACAAGTTGAAGGAAGTTAGCACCCATCCCTCTCCTAGAAAAATGAAATATTTTAGGGAATATTAAAAGGGCAGAATATTACCCCTAAAAGGGAGGCAGGAACTCAGTCACCCCACCTTTGTCAATGGGCCATTAAGGCCTGAGCCTGTCTACTCTACGTAACAAAGATCTACCCCCTTCAGGACAGCAACCAATAAGGATACTCTTCCTGTGCTCCAGGAAGTTCAAAGGCCAGAGAGGGCATAAAACCCAGGGCCTCTCAGCATCTCTTTTCTTTTCACCCAGGAGCTCCAAGGCATGTGATCCTGTCCACCAACTTTAAACCATCTTTCCAAACAGCCTCCATGAAACCAGTGTCTTTTTCCCCACTTGGAACTGAACTCAGACGGACATTTCTAATAACCAAGTCAAGGACTACCTGTACTTATTGCGGCTTTTTCTTCAATCCATTCCAGCATTGACAGATGTCCAAAGGCATCATAATGGGTGAACACATTAAAAGAAAAAGGGGCAGCAGCTGCCTCACTTTAAAAAAAGCCTTCAAACATCCAGGCCACTTTGGTTTCAAGAACTGTCTTTCCATTCTTATGCTCCTATTTGGGGAAGCTCTATAGTTATAGATGGGATGCAGTGGTGGGTTTCAAAAATTGTTGGAACCTACTCTGTGGGTGTGGCCTCCTTTGTGGGNGATTGTCCAATCTCCTCTTAAAAGCCTCCAATGTTGGTGTACCCAAAAATTCTGGAGGCAAGTCATTCCACTGAGTAATTGTTCTAACTTCTACGAAATTTCTCCTTAGTTCTAGGTTGGTTCTCTCTTTGATTAGTTTCCATTCATGGCTTCTTGTCCTGCCTTCAGATGCTTTGGAGAAAAGGTTGACCCCCTCTTCGTTGTGGTTTTTATTTTCAGTACTCAAAAGCCCGATTGGGCTTGTTATCCAGGGAGGTCTTATTTTCATGGAAACAGGGTAGCAACTGCAATGATTCACTTAACAACTCGGGAAAGAAAGGTTGTAAATTGGGGCAAAACTCATTTAACAAATGTGTTATCACTTAGCAACATACATTTTGGTCTCAATTGTAGTCCTATGTCCAGGACTGCCTGTAACGCTGTCATTGGCAGAGAGAACCTTATAAATAAAGAAAATAATTGTTTTGAAGGAATGCCAGAATTGATGGTCTCACGCTGGTCCCCCTCGGCGTATCCAGAAAACACTGGCTGTTTTCAAACTTGAGCTCTGTTATTGCGGAGGAAACATTTACCTGATTGAGCTGCTAAAGTAACTAGGGAGAGAAAGAAGTGGGAATGCAGGCAATGCAATCAGACTTTTTCTGCTAGGAAAAGAAAAAGTGGATTAGAAGAACAATGAAGAAAAGCACACACACATACACACACACAAACACACACCTCAATGTCCCAGAATCTTCTCTGGTTATATGAATGGCCCTCGCTGCATACACCTCTCCAGTGGAGGAGGCTGCTATCGATACATATGGCCTATTTTCCAACTGCCTCTTACAACACATTCAATTAGCATCAAAGTCAGTGTTTACAGCCATTCGCTTCCATCTGCCATCGTTTCTCATTTCCACCCACTTCATAATACTACAAGGTCACTAATCATAACACCAGTGGCTCGTTCCCCCCCCCCCCCACCCCAGTATGTACAGAGAAAGAACAGTGTTTTTTTTTTTTATCCTTGAACAGTCTTGAAAAGATTAAGCTTTGCTCCTTTTTCCTCCCAGGTGTTTCCATAGATACAGTCAGTCTTTTAGATAAATTGAATAATAGTTTCTGAACTGAGTACAGGGTGTACCTCTTTGGATCCAGGCCTTTCCCGAATTAACCTTTTAATAAAGGGGCAGCTCCTTTATCCTGCCTCAGTTCGGAAGAGCAAGATTATGGAGGGTATTGCAAATCTACTGGGGGTCTCTTTTGTCCATCATGCACTCCTTTGTATATTGGTTCAGAAGCAAAGTTCATGCTACTTATACCCTGGTTGAGGACTTCAGCCTAGATATTAAATTGAAGCTTCAGCAAAAGTAAAGCAGCAGTCATCCAGTAATAAGGGGTACAATGGAGACTAGCCTCCTCATGATACATCCTGGGCAACGTGACTTTGTCACATCTAAATAGTCTATATACTTTCTGGCTGTTGGACCTCTCAAAGATCTCTCAGCAAGAAGCAACAGCTTGAGTACTGAAAATAAAAACCACAATGAAGAGGGGGTCAACCTTTTTCTCCAAAGCATCTGAAGGCAGGACAAGAAGCCATGAATGGAAACTAATCAAAGAGAGAACCAACCTAGAACTAAGGAGAAATTTCGTAGAAATTAGAACAATTACTCAGTGAAATGACTTGCCTCCAGAATTTTTGGGTACACCAACATTGGACGCTTTTAAGAAGAGATTGGACAATCCTTTGTCTAAAATGTACTGAAATATGCCCTCCCAAAAAATATTGCATCACAGCAGCAGCCATGAGGTGACCACGCTCACCACCTCCTGCGCCTCATAAATAATAAGATCTCCCTGAAAATAAGGCCAAGTGCTTGTTTAGGGGGTCAAAAGAAAATAAGATCCCTTTAGAGGATCGGCGGGAAAGATGAGACGAGAGCCAGGACTGCCGAACAAGAGGTTTATTTACAACAGAAACTATTTA